TCCCAAATCCCAATTCCCACCCCTTTGCTGATCCCAAAGGGATCCCAAATCCCATTCCCAAATCCCAATTCCCATCCCTTTGCTGATCCCAAAGGGATCCCAAATCCCATTCCCAGATCCCAATTCCCATTCCTTTGCTGATCCCAAAGGGATCCCAAATCCCAGTCCCAGATCCCAATTCCCATCCCTTTGCTGATCCCAAAGGGATGCCTCCATTCCCTCACCAGGTTATAAACCTGGTGGTGCCAGCCGCTGGGAATGAAGACGATCTCTCCGGCTTCCTGGACAATTTCCAGCGGGGCCTGGCTCTGGCTGTAGCGTGGATAAATCCTTTTATCCCCAAGATCAGCAGCTGTCACATCAAAGGGGAGATTCCCGTGGCAATCCTTCAGGAATTCCTCCTGTCCTGCAGGGTACAGGAGCCATTTTTTCCTGCCACACACGTTGGCTGACCAGCTGTAAGAGCGGAAAACGTCGGCGTGGAAAGGAGTCCTGGAGGGGGAAAAAAAAAATAAAAAAAATCCGGGATGGGCAGGAATTAACGGTGAAAAGTTGGAACGGGGATTCCAGATGGTGGAAAGTGAGATTCTGATCCCAGAATTCCAGGAGGAATGTCGGTTGGATTAAGGAGTTTTGGGTATTAAAAGGGCACTGTATCCATACTGATCTCAAAATTCCTCACGGAATTTTGGTTGGATTAAGGAGTTTTGGCAATTAATTGGAAACAGATCCCAAAATTCCTCCTGGAATTTCAGTTGGATTATGAAGTTTTGGCAATTAAAAAGCAATTATACAGATGCTGATCTTGAAATTCCTCATGGAATTTTGGTTGGATTATGGAGTTTTGGCTATTAAAAAGCCATTGAATCCATACCAATCCCAAAATTCCTCATGGAATTTTGGTTGGATTAAGGAATTTTGGATATTAAAAGGCCACAGTATCCATACTGATCCCAAAATTCCTCATGGAATTTCAGTTGGATTGTGAAGTTTTGGCTATTAACTGGACACAGATCCCAAAATTCTTCATGGAATTTTGGTTGGATTAAGGAATTTTGAATATTAAAAAGCCATTATATGGACACTAATCATAAAATTCCTCATGGAATTTTCGTTGGATTAAGGAATTTTAGCTATTAAAAGGCCACTGTATCCATACTGATCCCAAAATTCCTCATGGAATTTCAGCTGCATTCTGGACTTTTGGCAATTAAAAAGTAATTACATGGATACCAATCCCAAAATTCCTCATGGAATTTAGGTTGGATTATGGAAGTTTACCTGGTAAAAAGCCATGATATCCATCCTGATCCCACCCATCCTTTTCCTCATGGAATTTTAATGGGGTTATGGAGTTTTGATTCATTGAAAAACCACCCTGATCCTAAAATTCCTCATGGAATTCTGCCTGGATAATGGAGTGTTTTATATCCTCTGTACTTCTCTTTAATTTATCCCAAAAAATTCCTCAAGGGCAGGGAATTCTGATAAAAAATACCCCAAATGCAACTTCAGAACCAACACTGGGCTGGAATTTTCACCTGGAATTTTCCCCTGGAAAACACTGGAGTTATTGCTGCCATTCCAGGCTCCTGCACATTCCCAAGGGAATTTCTCCTCTCATCTCCCAGATGAATTTTTTTTTTCTGGCCACAATTTGGGCTTTTCCCTTTTCCCCTCCCATCCAGAGCCAACCAGGACATTGGGAGACCTGCTGGTTATCCTGAGGGATAACAGGATCATTTCCTGGGATATTCAGCTGGAAAAGAAGGAATTTTTGGGGGATGAGAGCTTTACCAGGATCCCTTGGGTCCCATGTAGACGAAGCGAAAATCATCCACGGCCACGGCATCCCAATATTCATTGAGCCAATCCGAGGAAAAATACACTGGAGTGGTGTAAACATCCTCCTCTGGGAAAGCTCTGGAAAACACAAACCCTTGGAAAAACAGCTCAGGAAAATGGGATGTGCCCCCCAAAACCAGTGGGAAGGGTAAAATGGATCTTTGAGGATGGAATCGCGGTGGTTTGGGAACAGCTCATCCCAGTTTTTCACTATCTCGGGTTTGGACACTTGCAGGGATTTGGGGGCTTCTCTGGGAATTCCATCCCAGCCTCTCCCCATTCCCACAGGGAAAATTCCTTCCCAAGGGTTTTTTCCAGCTGGAGAAGGAAAGGCAGAGCTGGGGGAAAGGGAACTTGAAGGAGAATGAATGTTCCCAGAAAAGCCAATGGATACCAAAGGATCCCAAATCCAACATATCCATGGAATAATCCCAATTCCAATCCCAGTTTAGGTTTGACTGGTGGAGGTGTTCCAGTCCCATTTTCCATTGGGAGAAAACATGGAATGGTTTGGGTGGGAAGGGATTTAAGGATCATCCCATTCCATGGCCAAGGACACTTCCCACTATGCCAAGGTGCTCCAACCCGGCCTTGGACACTTCCAGGGATCCAGGGGCAGCCACAGCTGCTCTGGGAATTCCATCCCAGCCCCTCCCCACATTCCCAGCCAGGAATTCCTTCCCACATTGAGTTTAAATGGATCTTGAGCCTGGAATAAAAGCTGGGAATTGGGGTGAAGGAATGACAGCAGCCTGGAATATCAGGGATTTGAGGAATTCTGAGCTCTTTTTGGAGCTGGAGGCCAAAGCTTTGGAATTCCTCAGGGAATGTTGGAATATTTTTCCTCTGTGCTGACGCTGAGCTCGTCTGCTCTGCCCCAAAACCCCAATTGGAACAATTCAAAATCATGGAATCCTGGAATTTTTGGGGTTGGATGGGATCCTAAAGAACACCCAGTTCCAACCCCGTGCCAGGAACACTTCCCACTATCCCAGGCTGCTCCAAGCTGGCCTTGGGCACTTCCAGGGATGGAGCAGCTTCTTTGGGATTCCTTCCCAAATTAAGTGGGAAGCCATTCCCTGTGTCCTATCATTCCATCTGCATTATCCCAAATCCCTCTCCAGCTCTCCTGGAGCCCCTTTAGTGCCCTGGAAGAAGCTCTGAGGATTCCCTGGATCCTTCCCCTCTCCAGGGGAACATTCCCAGTGCTGGAGCTTTGGGAATGAGCCCTGACCTGCTCAGGTGCCAGTCCTTGAGGTAGAGGCAGCCACGGGGGGAGCGATGGCCATTCCTGATGTATTCCCTCCAATATTCCACAAATTCCTTGAAGGGCAGCTGCTCCTTGGGGTTGGAATTGTATTCCTTGACATCACAGTTGGCAACAGGCACCACAGCTTCTCCTGGAATCACAAATCCCTCAGGAATTCTCCTCAGGAATGAGGAGGACTCATGGAATCACCTCCCCCTCAAGCTCATTCCCACAGAATTCTGGGTTTCAAATATTCCAAAGGAACCATCCCAATCCCAAAACCATAATTCCAGGGAAACACCAGCCAGGAATTTCAAATTCTTTGGGAATCCTCTTCAGGAATGAGGAGAACTCATGGAATCACCTCCCTCAAGTTCATCCCTACAGAATTCTGGCCCCAAATATTCCAAAGGAACCATCCCAATCCCAAACCCATAATTCCAAGGAAATGTGATGCAGGAATTTCAAATTCTTTGGGAATTCTCAGGAATGAGAACTCATTAAACCAGCTCCCTCAAGCTCATCCCTACAGAATTGGAATTCTGTTTTTCCTTCGTGCTTTTATCCCAAAAATTCAATCCAAAAAAACCCTGCATCTTTAGGATTTGGAATTATTAAATTCCCCAATATATTCAATTGATTGAAATACAAATAATAAATAAAACTTGGGAATAAATTTCAGCTTAGAATCTGCAAACCAGACAGCGAATAAATGGGAAAAATTTCAAGTATTAATTTAGGCAAAAAGTTTGGAATTTTTGGGTTTTTTTTTTATGCTTTTATCCTGAAAATTTAATCCTAAAAAACTGCATCTTTAGGATTTGGAATTATTAAATTATCCAAGATTTTAAACTGATTTGAATATAAATAAGAAATAAAATTTGGGAAGAAATTTCAGCTTGGAATCTGCAAACCAGACAGTGAATAAACAGGAAAAAAATCCATGTATTCATTTAGGGAAAAAGCTTGGAATTTCGGATTTTTTAGTGATTTTATCCCAAAAATTCAATCCTAAAAATCTGCATCGTTTAGGATTTGGAATCAAGCAGGAAAAAAATTCCAGGACTTACCAAATTTTTGCAGGAGATGCTCAAAGTTGGGTTTCCCATCCCACGTCACCCAAGTTTTCCTGCTGCCCCAATCCTCAGTGAATTTGGCTGAGAAAATGCAGGGATGGTTGGGAATGAGATAATCCCGAAAAAAATCCGAATAAGTGAAGGAATCAACTTTGTCAATAAAATCCACGTGGCCCCCGGGAAGAGAACTTGGAGCAGAATTCCCAAAATCCCGGAAAAAAGCAGTGGAACAGGCAAAGGTTGCTCTGTCCATGCAGGCTGGAAAAAAAAATTCCTGGCTGAGCCAAGAAATTTTGGAGCAGGTGTTATTCCAAAAAAAAAAAAAAAAAAAAAGACAAAAAATTAAATAAACCTGCTAAAAAAATGAGATTGGAGGCTTTGAAGCTGGGGGAAATCACGGGAAAATTGAGGGAAAATCGAGGGAAAAATCACGGGAAAATTGAGGGAAAATCACGGGAAAATCGAGGGAAAAATCACGGGAAAATTGAGGG